TTTCTAAGGTAAACATTCAATTATAATCTGTTTTTACTAAAAATGTAAAATATTTAACTTAAAATCAATTATGAAGCTATAGAACCATTTAAAGCGAGTAATAAGGCTTTCGAAGGTATGGGTGGTGACTATAAATGGACTTTCTTGCCAATGAGTGGCTTTTTCTTTCTGTTTCCTGAGGTAAACATTCAACTATAATATATTTTAACCAAAAATATAAAAAAATTACTTAAAATCAATTATGAGATTATAAAACTATTTAAAGTAAGTAATAACACTTTCGAAGGTCTGAGTAAGTATAGATGGACTTCTCTCTCTAATGTATCGCTTCTGCTTCATGTTTCCTAAGGTATTTCAATTATAATCTATTTTACCCAATAATAAAAAATAATTCAACTTAAAATCAATTATGAGATTATAAAACCATTTAAGGCGAGTACTAAGGCTTTTTGAGGTATGGGTGACTATAAATGGACTTTTTTTAACAATGGATGGCTTTTTCTTCATGTTTCCTAAAATAGACATTTAATTATAATCTATTTAAACCAAAATGTAAAAAAATTTAATTTAAAATCAATTATGAGATTAAAAAACTATTTAAAGTGAGTAACAAGCTTTCGAAAGCATAGGTGACTAGATATGAACTTTTCTTACTAATGATGTAACACCCCGTACCCTCATTTAGAAGTTGATAAGACTCTATTGATCAGAACAAAGGTTATTTGACGTAAGTCTAAGTGTTAGAGAATGGTGATTGGTAAAAAAAAAAGAAAAGAATATTTTAAAATAAAATAATATTTTTATGAATAAAATATTATTAAAAGATTACTATTTTATTTATTAGTGAGATTCGTTAAAAAAGAGGATTATATGACTAATTTAAATGGGGGAGAAGAAGAAAATAAGAATTCGAAAGAAAAACGAGGTTAGAGGGACCCACATGTCTTTATTAAATAGAGCACAAACGGATAAGTATATATTTAAATATTATGGTGACACGTTGATGGGGTGCAAACCTTATAT